TTCCTCTCTAACAAAATATGAAGCACGTTTTCTACTTTATTCTAGTTTCGTTACTTCCTCTCTAACAAAATGTTAAGTACGTTTTCTACTTTACTCTAGTTTCGTTACTTCCTCTGTAACAAAATGTTAAGTACGTTTTCTACTTTACTCTAGTTTCATAACTTTCAATCCAACAAAATATGAAGCACGTTTTATACTTTATTCTAGAATCATTACTTCCATTCCAACAGAATGTGAAACAGATCCAGTCACTATGTATTGACTTTGTGGAGAAAAATGTTCAGACACCAGTTATTGATTATAAAAAGACAACGTGTACATACACCAACTATTAACTGTGAGGAGAACATGTGTACAAATTGTTGACTAATTATAGTATTTTGGCACTTGTGTATAAAGTTGAAATCATAAATAATATTCAACGTTAAACTGGTACACAATTAAAAACATTTTATTTAGGCCTATCTATGGCCTTCAAAACGTTGACGACTCTACATGTTTCGACGTTAAAACGTCATCCTCAGGATACAACGTGTACAGACACTAATTATTCAATGTGTGGAGACAACGTTGACAGACACTAATTGTTGAATGTGTTAGGAAATGTGTACAGACAATATTTATTGACTGTTTATAGGCAATGTGTACAGACACCGATTAATGATTGTGAGGACACAACGTGTGCAGACACTTTTTTTGGCTGTGTGGAGACAACATGTATGGACGCTAATTGTTGAACGCTTGGAGACAACGTGTACTGATGTCAATTATTGATTGTGAGGAGCAACGTTTACAGACACTAATTGTTGACTATGTGGAGACAACGTGTACAGACACCAATTATTGATTATAAGGAGCATCGTGTACGGACACTAATTGTTAACTGTGAGGAGACATGTACAGACACTAATTGTTGTCTGTGAGGAGACAAGTACAGCCACTAATTGTTGGCTGTGTATAGACAACGTGTACAGACTCTAATTGTTGACTGTGTGAGGACAACGTATACAGATACTAATTGTTGGCTGTGTGAAAACAACGTGTACAGATAATAATTGTTGGCTGTGTGGAGACAACGTGTAAAGACACTTATTGTTGATTGTGGAGACATCGTGTAGAGACACTAATTGTTAATTGTGTAGACACTAACTCTGGATTGTATGAAACCTTCTGTTTCCTACTTTCGAGAGGATAGAACATCTGTGTACACTCTGTTCTATTTTGAAACTTTACAGAATCTGTTTATTACTTCTATTGAGATTTTCTTGTGACTAATCAAACCTCTACGTTATATTCTTCCAGATTTTTCTCATCCTGAAACTTGGGCGTCTTGCTTGTGACGCCGGAACCTTCAGAGACTGCGCTATGCTTCACTCTCGTCCTCAGTATCAAATGTCATTCTAGCCCTCTACTTTGTTCCTTCATGTGTTTATGCGTTTTTTGTTGTTGTTGTTTCTTTTATCGTTTAACTGCACGATGTTTTATTTTCCTTTTTGCTCTCTTGTTTCTAAAACATATCTATCCTAATAAATATAACTTGCTCGAAATCTTACCACTTTCCTTAATGCCCTAATACCTATTGCACGTTCCTTTCATCCTCAATTTGAGGATTTCTTGGCACACGTCATATCTCTCTTTGTAGAAGAACGACAAAAAACATATATTATAGATATTTTGTGTTTCACATTTCCAGATTTGAAACTCAACACACAATACTCGGGTATTAAAGATATCCTTGCATTAGATTCTTTCAAAGCATTTTGTTGTTTTTAAAAAGTGAGTTTTAACTACTTGTCATATCCTACATAATGCTGAATAAATGTTTTGTTAGACAATCTTTCTTCTCCCTCATTTAAACCCCTCATATTTTGAACAAGATCCTATAGTGTTTGAGACAACGATTTATGTTCAGTAAACATTCAAATGTATTTTTCTCAACTAACCCTTTCTTTCTTCAACCCCAAATGCAGCTCCACAGAGTCCAGTACAAAGTCGACGTCAACTTCTTACCGCTAAAACTGTAAGAATGAGCTCTGTTGATCTTCCTGATGAGAACGAAAAGTCGCTCAGCAGTGCCTCCACTTCCCCCTGTCCCTCACCGGTAGGTTCTGTTGATTAGAAGAACAGTTGCTACCAGCATGTTCTGTTAACTAGAAGTGTTGTTATCTGTACCTTAACTGTTCTTACCAGCATGTTCTGTTAACTAGAAGTATTGTTATCTGTACTTTAACTGTTCTTACCAGCATGTTCTGTTAGTTAGAAGTAATATATGTATATGAAAAGGTTTTATTGTTATCACTGATCTGATTGTATTCATTCTCTCATAAAGTCTTGACAGATAGCTGTAGCCATAAGTCTCAGTACCCAGTGAATCCTCTTGTACAAATCTACTATCCAGTGAGCCATCTTGTACAAATCTCACTATACAGTGAATCCTCTTATACAAATATCAGTATCCAGTGGATCCTCTTGTACAAATATCAGTACCCAATGAATCCTCGTGTACAAATCTACTATCCAGTGAGCCATCTTGTACAAATCTACTATCCAGTGAGCCATCTTGTACAAATCTCACTTTACAGTGAATCCTCTTATACAAATATCAGTATCCAGTGAATCCTCTTGTACAAATCTCGGTATCCAGTGAATCCTCTTGTACAAATATCACTATCCAGTGAATCCTCTTGTACAAATATCACTATCCAGTGAATCCTCTTGTACAAACATCACTATCCAGTGAATCCTCTTGTACAAATATCAGTATCCAGTGAATCCTCTTGTACAAATATAAGTATCCAGTGAATCCTCTTGTACAAATATAAGTATCCAGTGAATCCTCTTGTACAAATATCACTATTCAAAAATATGTTGTGTATTTTTTTATGATGCAGCTACATATAAGTGTCATTAGAGTTGTAACATGTATTTAGCGGATTGCATTTGTTATTGTTTAATTTGAAACTAATATAATTGAGATTTTTTGAAATTTATATTCTATATATTTTTGCTATCACTCATTTTTCACGTTTAAGCGAAGGCACACGTCGGGTCCTTGAGAGTAATATTGTCAGATAGAATTGTTGTGATTCCGGGTTCTTCTTTTATCATTTTTTTCATAGTCGTTTGTGAAGTTTTGTTAACTTCTGTTTATCATCGTGTTAACAGTACCAAAACGTAAGCCCAGTTACATCGCAGTGGCGTTTTCGGTCTGAAGATTCTCTTTCGTAACTACAGCCGTTACTTTGTGGTTGTTCAAGATTGGTTGTGGTGGGATGATGTCATTGTTGCTTTAGACGTTCTGCTCTGCAAATTCTACTTGTCCATACAGAACACTGAAAGCTCCCTTTTTCGAAATGCTTTGTCCATTGGCTCTACACTGAATAACAGTCTCGTTATACGTGTTCTTAATACCCATTACATGATTTAAAACAGCCCTCCAAGTTTCACAAATCAAGGGTTTTCAGCTACAGTCTATATTACCTTACGTAATACCATTGATAGTGATTACTATATTTATATATTGTGTTATTAGTTTTTGTTTTGTTTGGTTCTTGTTAAGCGCGAAGCTACACTATGGGCTATTGATGCGCTGTCCACCACGGGTATTGAAACCCGATTTTCAGGATCGTAAGTCTACAGACTTACCGCTGAGCCACTTGGGGGCGTTAATATTGGTGTTTTCAACTAAATTGTCCCTTGTGCGACACATTGCTATCAGATCCGATATTCCAGTTAAAATTATGTTGATTATGAAAACATGCTACTTGTACTAGTGACCTTTATATTTTTACTGTAAAATATGTAAATAGTAAAAATACTTATATTTACATTTATCATAATGTAAGTTCAATCTAAAGTTCGCAAAACCGGTAATCATATTGAATATATTTCTATGTAAAACAACACGCCAGGAAAGAAAATTGTCGCTAGTTAAGTACGTGCTTTGTTCAATGTACACTGACCCCATGAACATCCTCCTGAAACAGGTTTTGGTTGATTTGTTTAACCATTTCATAGTCTGTTACATGATTGATACATAGTTTGAATTCGAGAAGTTGGAGCTACTAGTAGTTTTACAATAATAAATGCCCCACCCGTAGTGACCTTTGACCCTGGTGTCTGATGGATTTTATGTTTGTATTTTGTTATATATATATATTAAAAGAATATACATATTTCACTAAAATGTTTATAGGAAATGCTTTTCCAATAATTACACAGGCCTGCGATGGTTTTATTAACTTGAAATTTTTACAAGTTCTACAGTAATTCATGTACTCTGAATCCGAAAATGATATCCATTTTTCTCCATCACGTACAGATTTTTCACAAAACGTCATATGTACATTTACATAAGTGAATCATTTTCTTTGAAATCGGCCCACATTTTGTTATGCTATAGATTTCTCTAGACTAATCGCGACGTGAGAGTCTTATCGATTGTTCTAGAACCCACGAGAAACACACCGCTAGTATATAAACGGTTAACAGACCGCATGACATGTCATTTCTAGATAGTATTTGTTTGTGCGTGCACTTTGACATTATTTTTTCTTTTCATTACAGAATTCGCCAAAAAAGCGTATTACACGTATTTTGAAAACAAACTTGAGACCAAGTCAAATTATGCGCTCCGCACAGAGTTTGCACCGTTTGTGTCGAACAGTTGAGACAACCTCCTAAAGGTAAAAAAAAACAAAAAAAAAACTACTTTGCTTTTTGGAATTCCAATAGTCTGGCGTGAGCCTAGAAACCACGGAGATGACTGATATTTTTGCTCATGTAACGTGCAAGGTTACAACACTCGAAATAAAAAGGAAGTTTCTTATCCGAACCTTCAATCTGCTATAAGACCTGTTGCTCATGGACCTGATGTATCTGTACCTACTCCATCGGAGACTCTTGATATAGTTTTATATGTCAAAAAAAATTATGATAATCCCTATTGTTTTCAACCTGAAACGTCTGGGGAACCAAAACTTTTCACACAAGGTGACCTTGATGATTTGGT